CGAGCTCCTTCCTCGCGCTTCTTCCACGACGCGTTCCCTCGTTTGTTGAGAATCTCAGCCAACTGTGCGGCGGAAACCCCGAGCAAACAGTCCGTTTCAGGCAGGGCGCTGGTGGCAGTGACTTAATCAGCCGCGCCGAGTCCTTGGGGAACGTCCAAGGACATTTGGCACCCGCGGGGAGTCGCCGTGTTCACTAACGTTAACTGGCGTCGGGTCGCTGCCGGCATATATCGCCCCTGGCTCGTCCGCCGAGGCATCGATCGCTGACCAAGGCCGCCGACGGACTTGTTAAAAACGATGGGAACCACGGCCCAGCGCTGCTTTTATACACTGGACGCCCGCTTGATAAGCCCTTCACCATTTCGGAGAACGACTTCGGGCTGCAGCGTCAACGTGGGAAAGGCTTTTGAATGTATCAAGATATTAAGCAGTTGCTCAATGAACGAAGGACTAACTATGGCACAAGCACAGTTTTTGTTTTGGGGTGCAGGGAGAACTTCCAAATTTCCAGCCTACAAATGCAAAGCGTAAAGTCTTCTTGTTATATTCGCTTCCGTGGCAGCTGTGCTTAATTATGATTAAGTACACGCTGCATCAGGGGGTAAGCAAGATATTGAAGCATTGGGGTTTGGCGAGGGAAGGCCACAACACAAAATGTTGACTGAAAAATGTTTTAATGCATCACTTTTGAGCAAAATGCCTTAAATGGCGTTTAACAATGCCGCAAGCGTTTAACCTGCGCTTGTTTACGGTAAGCACCACACAGTGTAAGCGTAAACACGAACAGCTTAAGTGTCCGTCGGGATTTTTTATTGCCGGCATTTATACACATGGATATTAAGACAAGACAAAATCCGACAGAAGGGGAGCGCACGTGCAACAATGTGCCCCACCTGTCTTAAAGACGCTCCCGCGCTGCCCCTCGGATCAAAGCGGCGGGACGTGTTGTTGTAAGTAGTTATACTATTGATACACAGTTGTCGGTAATTATCTGACGGCGAAAGTTCACTGTAAGTAATGTGTGTCTGAGCGTTTGTTTCACATTGCAAGCTGCACAGTTCTTTTTAACTCGCAACCTGGGGTGCTATGAGATATTGGGTCCTTGTAACTGGCCGTCTTTAATCAGCCATCTTAAAACCTTTTGCAAGATCCACAAAACAAGCGAATCCATGACGAGTTACGTAAGTTGTTCAGTGCATTTGCGAGAAGCATTATTCACATAGATTTCTGAGATTGCTTCGGTAAAAACATTTTGGAAAATATCAACCCACCTATATCTCCACTCTTCTGGTTTTTCTCCGGAGAATAAGGCTACTTCTATTGTCTTATCTGTGAATCCATGACAAGTGGCAATAACTGTTGCCTACGAGTTTTTTGCTTTCGCCATTCGAGGGGGTCCCAAAAGTGTCCAAAGATCCCGAAACTAAGCAAGGGAGAGCTACGCTGAAAACACATTTAAAAGCTCTTGTCAAAGTGTACGGGTCAGACAATGTGGCCTTTGGCAAGTCAAATCAGGTCAGTTGGGTTAAATTAGCAATTTATGGAGCCCTCCTGCAATCCTAAGAACTAGGCATGCTAACGCAATGTGGAATGCGGCATTAAGATCGTTGTACACGCACTAGCATATGCCCACACATGTGGCCTGTGCTATTTCATGTCAGGTCAAATAGGTAAAGGCAATTGTTTTGCTGGCCCGTCCAGCTATGTTGAGAACAAAACAAGCTACATAGCTGCATTGGTGCAATGTGGAGAGCATGGTTAGAAATTTCCATTGTAAGAGGCAGAACGGTGTTCGAATGACTTTTTCGCCTGATCACAAATGTCAAGGTTTTACCCAGTTTGACCTTAAATGATATGACCAAGCAAAAATTGCCCGAAAAAACTAAAGCACTTCAGTGATAAATATAAGAAGACGGGTCCAAAGAACCTCCTTGAATTGCCTTTCTTGCGATCTATAAGCGTAACGCGTCGTTCCTTACCAAAATGTCACCAACATGGCCTTGAGAAAGTGGTCATCGATTATAAACCTCCATGACAACAAACTTCGTACATTCACATGTTTAACACTTACGTGAACTCAGTCACCCAAAAAGTCAGCACCGTGCTCAAGAGCGCTAAGCAATTATTCAGGAGAGCCCAATGGGAGACTTGAGGCTCCTCCTTTCGTAGGACAAGGGTTAAAACACTCTACAAACCCGGGCTTATACTGATGGGGCTTCCAGCATGCATCTTGGTTGTAAAACATTGTGTGTATCTTTCAATGTCTTCTCTCAGTTGACGCCATTTTCGGCTGCCTTACCATTGGGACGGACTAGTGAGAGCTCGAGAACGACGTTGTTTTGACGAATGGTGGCGCGCTTCACGTTCCTGTCCGCTGCGTTCCCCTCCCCCTCCCTCTACCGCCACGCCTGGCCGAACGCCTCTGTCGGCCCTGACTGCTCATAACAACCTTCGGACATCGATTTCACGGATTGTTGACAGAGCGGGTCGAGACGGGGCCTGAAACCTGGAGTCTACGCAGAGCTGTGAGGTCTTCGGCCAGTCAGCTGACGTTAGAACCTGGCTCCGACTCTCTGGATCATTCTATCGCGAACCGTGAGCCGTCGCTCCTGCTGGTCTCGCAGAAACGCATTGCTTGAATCCCAGTCCCTTGCTTTTAATCACGCATGGCATTGCACTTCCAAAAACAGTCCACATCCGTTCACCACCTTTATGCATGAGTACGCCATCTGAGCCCGTCGCACAACCCGACAGGCTCTGACGCCCCCCCCCCCCCTCCCCCCTCCCCCCGCCCACATACCTGACGATCGCGCCGGGGCTGGCTCGCTCCGTGACGATGTCACCGGAGCGTGCTGGGTCACGCGCCGTGACGTCAGACACCCACACGAGTCGCGCCGAATGGCCGTCCGCCCCCGACGCTGTTACGAGCTGCTCTATTGTCCTCCGGGACCCCTCTGCAGCAGCAGGCTGCGCGGTGGGCTCCTGCCCCGCGCCTGAGGCTTGTGAATGCCGCGGTATGTGGTACTGAAATAATGTGTTGCGCTCAGCGAGACCGAAGGGTTTCGGCGTGTACCGTGTGCCGGGTTGTGGAGTCGTGCCTTTCCTACATTTGCGACCACATTGCGTCTGGCTGCGAGGGAGGATCGGTGCAGCTCTGGTAGGAGTCCGCCATTGACATAAATGACTCCAGGTAGATAAATTGCCGCACCCATTACCCGCCGTCGTAATTGTGTGAATGAAGCAGTGCCCGTACGTCCCTTGGCAAGCGCCTCAGCACGTTTTTTCACGTCGTTTGTGATGTTGCGCACTGCGATTGGTGTTTTCTTTCTTCCGCGACGGGCTGGGAGTAAACGTGACTAACTACCGCGCAAGGATACACACATTTGCAACGTTGCATGTGCACTTCATTAGTGCGTGGGAACACAGTACAACAGCACAAAGCGTACTTCATGCACGCCTCGTTGCAGGATGCACTCATTTGCTTCCTTCTCTCGATGTCAGACACGCCGCTAATGACATTTACTTCTGGTAATGCACCCTCCGATGCACCCGCACGGTTTCATCTCAGCCACTGCTAATGAGCTGAGCAGCGAGGTGCACACAGCGAGAAATGACGCTCCGCATCGCTCTTTGATCACTTTGGTTCATTTGGCTGAAGCGAGACACGCTTAATGCTCCAAGTTTTTCGGCATATCAAGTAGCAATGCTGTAAATAACCGACCCCCTGTATATCAGGAGGCACTGGTTGAAAAAAGACATAACACAAGCCCTGCAACATATAAAATGTCCCAATTTCCCTAATGTAAGCGAGAAAGGCCTTCTGGATTTTTTTCTAGCCTTCTGGATTTTTCAGTAAATTAAGTTTGAAAATTATCGGCCTTCAATATACTAAGGGGTGCTGGTTTAGGGGCGTTACCAAAGCAAGCGATGCATTGGTTACATTGCCAAAACTCGGCGCTTCAAGCTATGCCGATGCCTACCACGCATGAACACAAGTACAGCTTGAGACGTCCTGTTTTGGCACCATAACCAGTCAGTGATGTTGCTTGAGACGTCGTCTAGGCAGTATTTTCTGCTGGCAATAGCTGACCCTATCGAAGGTCGATTATTGCTAACAACAGAACTCCAAACGCATAATTCCCAAATTTTTCACAGCGCTCACGGTTCCTTCAATGCGCTGGTGTACTGAAACTCAGTTATTTTCAAGATGATATTCAAGATCGTCTACTTTACTAAAGAAAGGAATTGTGATTGTCACCGCGCCAGCTATGCAGAGGACTCTGATCTTAATCAGCAGCTTTAACTTCAAGCATTTCTTCGCCTCTGGCTCAGATTCATCCACCCACAGCATGTGGCGGAGCTCTCTAACTCTATCTTTCCGACTACCCTGACGGCCGAGAGGCCTGGATATCCCAGGATAAAACGAATTTATTAACAAACTAGCCAGAAGGGATCAAAGTTTAAGCCGGCTGTACTGAAGCTTGAATTCCCGAGTAGGATGATGAGAAACATTTGGGTCTGATTTGAATTCGGTAGAGCTCATTAACACTGCAAAGCTATGGCATACATTTGCATACAAATGAGGCTGCCGCCCCTTTTATGATTATCCCGCACAAGTCCGGCGGATCGGAAATGTATATTGCCCGTACAACGTACACTTCAGGATTGTGTACTCACTGTTCATTGCATGTGATATACG